CGTGGTTCAAGCCCCTCATCCGGCTCTGTGCTGACAGCTCAGAGCCTGGAGCCTGCTTCAGGTTCTGTGTCTCCCTCTCTCTCTACCCCTCTGCCACTCATTCTCCATCTCTCTCTCTATCTCTCTCTCTCTGCCTACCAAAAACAAACATTAATTTTTTTATTTAAAAAAAAAAAAGAAAATTTGGTATGTTCACACCAAATTTGTACAAGAATGTTTATAGCAACTTTATTCATAATTGCCCAAACTTGGAAGCAGCCAAGATTTCCCTCAGTAGGTGAATGGATAAAGAACCTATGGTATATCCAGACACTTGAATATTACTTATTCAGTAATAAAAGAAATGACCTATCAAGGCATGCAAGGACTTAGAGAAACCTTAAGTATTACCAAATGAAACAGCCAACCTGAAGAAGCTATATACAGTATGATTCTAACTATATTATATTCTGGAAGAAGCAAAATTATGGAGATAGTAAAAAGATTCATCGTTACAAAGCTGAAGTGGTGGGATCAGGGGAGGGAGGGATAAACAGTCAAAGAACAGAAGATTTTTAGGATAGTTAAAATACTCTGTATGAAATTATAATGATAGATATATGTCATTATACATTTGTCCAAACCTGTAAAATTACAACACCAAGAGTAAACAGTAATGCAAACCACAGACTTTAGGTGATTATAATGTATCAGTGTAGATTAATCAATTATAACTTGCCAATTTTTCTGTGAAGCTTAAATTGCTCTAAAAAAAGAGTCTTAATAAAACAAAAATTACTGCATACAGAACTTGTGTCACATCTACCCATATTTACTAAAACTATCTCCTCACCCTGTTACTTAAATGCAAATTTCTTACTTTCAAACCTCTATTGCCTAGGTTAAAAGCATTCAACTCTTTACCTAAATAAAATGCTCCTCAAGCATGAAATGTCATGCAAATCACACAAAAAGAAACAATTACATCCTCTTTTACTTCCTCTGGGGTAATCCTGATATGTGTCAAATTATCCACAAGTTTTGTGAATCAAGAATATTTTTTATTATTTTTTTTTAATTTTAATTTTTATTTTTTAAAAGATTTTTTTTCAACGTTTATTTATTTTTGGGACAGAGAGAGACAGAGCATGAACGGGGGAGGGGCAGAGAGAGAGGGAGACACAGAATCCGAGACAGGCTCCAGCTCCGAGCCATCAGCCCACAGCCTGACGCGGGGCTCGAACTCACGGACCGCGAGATCGTGACCTGGCTGAAGTCGGACGCTTAACCGACTGCGCCACCCAGGTGCCCCAAGAATATTTTTAAAAAACTGTGTTAAATCATGTTATTAATTTGAAAGGGGAAAAAATGGAAAAAGGATGGGAACCATTTAACATTAGTCAGTGATAGATGTCTTCAATCTCTTATCTAATTTAATCTTCAAAACCATCCAGTGAGTTTATCTTTACCTTAGAGAATAAAAATATGGGGATGGGAGAGGACCTCAGAGATAAATTCCTTATTTAGGTTCAGTCACCTTTAAACCCAAGTGTGATTCCTGAGTACATGTTCTTAAAGTGATACTCCACCAGCTGCCAGAAAGTAAGAAAGTAGAAACAGGGAGGCATAATAGTGATAGTCTACAATGTCTGTGGTGCTAGCCAGAAAAGGAGAGATTAAATAGACATGAGAGGGGTGCCTGTGTGGCTCAGTCAGTTAATCCAACTCTTGATTTCAGCTCAGGTCACAACCTCAGGGTTCGTGAGTTCCAGCTCTGCATCCGACTCTGGGCTACCAGGACAGAGCCTGCTTGGGATTCTCTGTCTCTTCTCTCTCTGCCCCTCCCTACTCATGCTCTCTCTCTCAAAAATAATTAAATAAACATTTTAAAGTAAATAAATAAATAGATAGATAGACAGACAGACAGACATGAGAGAGATCTGAGCTGCATTATGTAGTGGTCATCATTGGCGAATGTATTGCATTCATTTGTTTCAATATTCAGAAGATGTTTAGCTTCATCCATTCTTATTTTCCTAGGATACTGAAGTTCAACTGACATGTATTACAACGTAGGTGTTGAAGAAAAGTGGAGCAGAAAGAATTAACTGTTTTAACTTATACAGATACGGGCTATGGATATTGAATAGTTCCTAAAATTCATCATAGAAAACTTTTTCTATGTACTCTCTTTCTGCGAGACTATTTTGCTTTTTAAAAACCTTTTCCCTAAAAAAAAAAAATAAACCTGGAATTAGTTTTTAAAGTGTAATCTTTGATCCCAGGGTCATAGAATCGAGTCTTGCATTAGGCTCTGCACTGAGCTTAAGATTCTCTCCTTCCGTCTGCCTCTCTTCCCCACATGTGCGGTGAGCTCGATCTCTCACAAAAAATAAATAAGTAAATAAATAAATGAAGTGTAATATTTGATCTTCTTATATTTGTATTAAAATTTTGAGATCTGCTTATGAATTAGGTTCTGTTGAAGGAAAGACAGTTTGTACTCTTTTGAATACTATGATGCATTGTGATCATTTTCTCGTATTACTCATAATTTTCTGATTCTGTCACTCTTTAATTTTTCATTAAGGAAATTTAAAGTTAAATCATGACTTCAGATTGCCATCTGTTGCCGACTTTTTATTGACTTTTTTGACCAAAACAGAATAGCAAAATACAATAGAAACTCAAAATAATCAAAATTGAGTTGACTAAATTCTATACTAAATTCAGAGTTTCTATCTACTAAAATCATGGAGTGCAGATCTCCTGTACAATATCTATAGTGAGAGTGTTAAAGAACTTGGCGTATATCTTGCTTTAGTATCTGTGTCCACTTGAGGTAAACTTAAGGAGATCTGGATGGCTCCTTTCCTTATAGAAGTCCTTTTTGTCTTGAATTTCAGCTAAACTATGTCTCAATGGTAGTCATATACCTCCATCTTGTGGCCCTGTCATAAAATTCCTTCTCATGCTGTTTTTTTCCAAGATATCCTAATTTCGTAGTGAATTTCAAACTTCCCAGTCTTTAAGGAATACCATAATCATATTGAAAACTTGTTTAAGATTCATTTGAAAATGAATGGTATTTAAATAAATTAGTGGCTTTTAAGAAGTTAAACATTGTCTCAACTGCTCCTAAAAGTCACTAATAATCATGAAAAACAAATCTATTCTCCTGGCCAGGGAAAATGCCATTTCCTCCTATTCCCCTAAAGAGAAAAAAAAGTTTCTTTTGCATTGTTTGATTTTTTCCTAATATCGTTTCACAGTGATGTATTCCTAACTCTTTATAAAATTCTATTTTATCAGCCTATGATTAAGTATTTAGTAAGGAACAAGATAAAAAGATTTGTTTAAACCCTAGATATGTTATGTCTTTGCTTTCTTACAATCTACCAAATTCATTCCTTTATTACACAAATATTTTTATTTTAGATAAGTTTGTTCGGTTTCCTTAATAATAAATATTGATTATTCAACATGCATAAAATACAATTTTGATAGCTTTTTTCTGGTATCTTTAAAATATTTGTGAAATCTGCAAATATGCAATTAGTGTCATTTATTATTTTATTCAATTTATAATGGACTTTTTTTTTTTTTAGTCATTGGGCATCATCTCTCTCCATTCTGCACTCCAGCACCACTGCTCTGTGCTAAACCCAGCTGCATCCCCAAACCATTCTGATATTGTTATAATGATAGCTGGGACTCATATTTACTTTTTTTTTTTTTTTTAATTTTTTTTTTCAACGTTTATTTATTTTTGGGACAGAGAGAGACAGAGCATGAACGGGGGAGGGGCAGAGAGAGAGGGAGACACAGAATCGGAAACAGGCTCCAGGCTCTGAGCCATCAGCCCAGAGCCCGACGCGGGGTTCGAACTCACGGACCGCGAGATCGTGACCTGGCTGAAGTCGGATGCTTAACCGACTGCGCCACCCAGGCGCCCCTCATATTTACTTTTTAAAATGATGAATTTATGAACCCTATGTTTGAACAGAATCTTCCACTTTTTCTTAAATCTAACTATCTAATTAAAGCAGCAGTCCCTTCTTAATGTACATTTGATTGAAATTAGTGTTGGGGGTGTAGTGGTCTGACATTGTTTCTGATTACATGTTGCATGTAATGGCTAAATTCTCAAACTTGCTATGTTGATATTTATGAAGACCTCCATATATTATTATAATGTAAGCTTTTTATTCTATTGAATTTTTATTTTTATTTTATATTTATTTTGTATTTGATATGTCTCATCTGTATCTCTTGGAATTATTGCAAGTGATCTGGGGTAGTATCAGCTATGATTATCTAATTTTCTATCACCTTCTGTTAAAAGAACATTCCCGGGGTGCCTGGGTGGCTCAGTTGGTTAAGCATCTGACTTCGGCTCAGGTCATGATCTCACGGTTCATGGGTTCCAGCCCATGTTGGGCTCTGTGCTGACAGTTCAGAGCCTGGATCCTGCTTTAGATTCTGTGTCTCCAGCTCTCTCTGCCTCCCCACCCCCTCAAAAATAAATAAGTAAACATTTAAAATACTTAAAAGAACAACCTTCCCATCATTGTTGACTTGGTCTATATGTTAACTGCCATAGGGATTATAACCTTGCACTTTGTTGTTTTGTGTCATTCATTCTTTTTGATTCATGTGAGGCACTCTCTAGCTATTGTTCATTGTCTAGTAAAATGTTCATTCTGGAGAAGTGAGGAAAAATATATTCTCGATTAAAAGAACAATGAATTGGGTGCCTGGGTGGCTCAGTCGGTTAAGCGACTGACTCTTCATCTTGGCTCAGGTCATGATCTCATGGTTCATGAGATCGAGCCCCGTGTCAGACTTTGCACTGACAGTGTGGGGCTTGGGATTCTCTCTCTTCCTCACTCTCTGCCCCTCCCCTGCTCCCTCTCTTTCTCTCAAAACAAATAAATTAATTTTTTTTAAAAGGAACAATCAATTATTTTCCAAAATGGTAATATATCACACTGAAAAGTAAATGCCTTTTTCCTTTTCAGAGGCGAGCTGCTGATAATTTGAGAAGACATCACCAGTATCAAGTAAGTTATTCTATTCTATCTTGAAATTTGCATTAAAATGAAGTACTGTCCCATCTTTAGAATGGACTCAAGAGAGAATTCCTATTTATGCACTGAATGTCAGTTCTGTTGTTTCGACATGCCTCAGGAGGTTATGCGGAACCTGGTGAAGAGGTATGTTGCCGCAATGATCAGAGATGCCAAAACTGAAGAAGGTCTGACTGAAGAGAACTTTAAGGTAACCATTTGCATCCTCATCACCAGGGGGCAGGTTCTGCAGAGCAGGGAACCAGATGCAGCACATTTACTATCAGAACTGGCAACTTGGCCATGAGTTTCAGCAAGCCTGTGTGCCTTCTTACTCTTAAATTCAAGGCTTCTTTTTTTTTTTAAGCAGTGAAATCTCCTTTCAAAATACATTATTCTAAAGCACATTAAATCTGGGGCACCTAGATGGCTCAGTTGGTTAAGCAGCTGACTTCAGCTCAGGTCATGATCTTGCGGTCTATAGGTTCGAGCCCTGCCTTTGGGCTCTGTGCTGACAGCTCGGAGCCTGGAGCCTGCTTCAGATTCTGTGTCTCCCTCACTCTCTGCCCCTCCCCTGCTCACACTATGTGTCTCCCTCTCTCAAAACTAAATAAGCATTAAAAAAAATTTAAAGCACATTAAATCTGAAATGTGGAGGGGACTTGGAGACAGAGAAAATCCTAGTGCCTTGTGGCATTTTAACTTGCTGATCCTAGCAACATTCGAATGAGTGAGCTTTAGTTTTTGAAATTCCAGTCTGATTTCTAAGCCTGAAACATGTAGTAACCAACATGTTAAAAACAACAACAAAAACCTTCTCTGTCCTATGCACAGCTTTGGTAGCAGGAAATTGAAGGTTTGTGCTTAATTGTAACTTACAAACTTAGTCTTTCTCCCTGAGGTTTTTTGTGTTTTTTATTCCATCAGAGGAGATAGGTGGAATACATGAAATATGTATGTATATGTGGGCATGCTCAAGTCACATGTATAAAATGTTTTTGTTATTCTGCCTGAGTTCTTAGAGGTTTTGAAAGAATGAGTGAAGTCAATAGGGTCTTATAGGCAAAAACAAACAAATAAAAAAACCCTGAAGAAGATCCTTTAACTGAGAATGTCAGGTTTGACAAGAGAATAAAGATGAACAGCTGGCTAGGTAAGAAGACAGATGAATTGCAAAACGCAAAGCACAGATTGAAAGGATCCCAAATGTTCTTCACAGTCACAACATCCACACTTTGTAGTTAAATGATTCCTGGTGCTTTAGGAAATAGGTTGGAGGCACGAAGCCACCAGGAAGGCCACCATCAGGTTAGGACTGAGAACTCAGTTATCCAAAAAGAGTAGGACTGAGAATTCAGTGTCCAAAAAGATAAGAGTAGAGGATGTATCTGAGAAATGCTGTCTGATCTGAAGCAATTCTCGAGATTTAGTAGCTGCCCCAGGTGCTGAGGTAAATGCAACCCCAAGGTAGTAAACAATTGAAGGTAACTGCCAACTCTTGGAACAGTAGACACCACTTTAATTATTTTGTTTTAGATATCCCTTTGGACAGAAAGATATGCTAACATGAGAACCCTTTTAAAAATGCATCCCTGAGAGAATGAGAGGTGACCTGAAGGCAGGTGAATATTTTAGAAAGGAAGCATTTGAAACTATAGTCCCACAAATCCAATATACTCTTGTTTCCTTTTGCATCAACCCCAGGAGGTCTCCTTGTTACTACATAACTGCCAACAGGGAAATTAGCAGGCATCAAAATGACTCTAGTGCCAGGGACAGAACAGGCAGTTCTCAACAGAACCACAGCAAAAATGGAATCCTGGCTCTTAAAAACAAGTAGGAGTGCCTGGATAGCTCAGTTGGTTAAGCCTGGGACTCTTGATTTCAGCTCAGGTGGTGATCTCACAGGGTTCATGGAATTGAGCCCCTTGCTCGGCTCTGCTCTGACACCATGGAGCTTGCTTGGGATTCTCGCTCTCCCTCTCTCTCTCTGTCCTTTCCCTGCTCATTCTTTCTCTCTCTCTCTCAAAAATAAATAAGTAAACTTTAAAAAAAAAAAGATTGAAAACACATCAGAGCCATATATGAAATGTGCTCACCATGAGCCCTCATGTTTGTTTAAGTCACAAACTAAATTTCTTCATTTCACATTTCACTTAGGAACTAAAGCAAGACATTTCTAGTTTCCGCTTTGAAGTCCTGGGGTTACTAAGAGGAAGCAAGCTCTCAACCGTCCAGTCGGCTCAGGCCACAAAGGAGTCCTCCAACTCTGCGGACTCGGATGAAAAGAGTGACAACGAAGGCAGTAGCAAAGACAAGAAAAAGAACTTCAGCCTTTTCGATTTAACCACCCTGATTCACCCGCGATCGGCAGCGATTGCCTCCGAAAGACACAACATCAGCAATGGCTCCGCCCTAGTGGTGCAAGAGCCCCCAAGAGAGAAGCAGAGAAAAGTGAACTTTGTGACCGATATCAAAAACTTTGGGTTATTTCACAGACGGTCAAAACAAAACGCTGCTGAGCAAAATGCAAACCAAATCTTCTCTGTTTCAGAAGAAGTTGCTCGTCAGCAGGCCGAAAGACCACTGGAGAGGAATATTCAACTGGAAACCCGAGGGTTAGCTTCGCGGGGTGACTTGAACATCCCTGGTCTCAGTGAACAGTGTATCTTAGTAGACCATCGAGAAAGGAATACGGACACCCTGGGTTTACAGGTGGGCAAGAGAGTGTGTTCCTTCAAGTCGGAGAAGGTGGTGGTGGAGGACACTGTTCCAATAATACCAAAGGAGAAGCACGCAAAGGAAGAGGACTCCAGTATAGACTATGATGGAAACCTCACGGACACAGCCACCCACGAAGATTATGTGACCACAAGATTGTGATACTTGAAGGAGGGAGCATTGATCATACATATACATATTTTCCATAGTGCCCTGGGTAGGGGGAGATGTTTAAAGTATATTAGCAAATGCTAACTTCCACCTCATAGCATTTATCAACTGTCGCATATTAACGTGTAACCTGTTTAAATAAGGCAAAGGCTATCAAAAACCCTGGTTTCATAGCCAGCTTTTGCTTTCACAATTTGTTTTACCTTTTTTTTTTTTTTTTTTTTTGGTTAATAAATAAACGCACCTTGTATTCTTGTACTATTGCAATAATCCACAGGAAATTTTTAGCTCTCTTTTTCAACTAAAACAAATGCAACTTATTTCATGTGGTAGTTGACTCCTATAGTAGGTATTTTTATATGCAGAAAAACAATGCAGCTGAAATATTAGAGCTTTTCATAATTTGGGGGGATCTCTAGAGATGGTTACACATCAAGGACTTTTCGGGCAGCCCTACAATTTGGCTTTAAAACACAAATATTACCAAATTATTTCTGAACATGTAAATATAGCACAGATTAAAGCAAGCAAGCCTTCTTTTCATGGAGTCGTGATCAAACCCCCTCCTAAAATGAAAAGCAGGTGTACTTTGGAGTTCTAGGATGCCCACTTTTCCATTTCAGTAAGTAAAATAAATGTTTGTCTTAATAAATATTGGTGATTGATGATTTTTAATGAGACTTTGTCATGAAGAAAGTTTTATTTCAGGTTTTTTTAAATGACCTTTTTCAGGTTCAGTTGCTAGTCAGTATAAATATGAGGCTTTATGAATAATAGAATTTCAAAATGTGGCAAAACTTCTCAGTGCGAGAAAAGAATAACAATAAATTAGAGTAGGTAATGCTCCTTAAACAAAGCAAGATGTTACATTCTCATAGGATCCATAAATTCATTCTAAACTCTAAATCTAAGCAAAGTTAAATTCTATTTCAATCAGTGCAATATTATTGCCAATTCAAGAAAAATACGGAAACCTAATGGTGTCCTCTTCTTTCCTCCAGTGACTGGTACATATTTCTTTAAAATTAAGATTTCCGAAAATCATTATTAATTTTAGCAGTAGATATAGATATTAAGTTTTCCCCATAGGAACAACATTCTTAATTACTTGTTTCTTCTGTTGTTTTCAAAGTAATTTATCTTATATTCATTCACTGAACCACTAAAAAGAAAATGTTTTCACCTGATATGAAAAGGCACTGGCAACTTCTTAAAGTTTAAATTATGTAACTTGTGACTATATAAGCCACCATAGAAATAGAAGTTCCTTCACCACATGCAGTAAGCATTTATTTCAAATCAATAGAAAAACGATGAGTTCATTTTACTTCAGAAATTACCTCCACAGACTAGACAAATGGTACATAATTTAACATTGACCCAAAACTGCATACTATTACAAAACCCAGTGTCTGGGGGCAGCTGGGTGGCTAAATCGGTTAAGCGTCCGACTTCGGCTCAGGTCATAATCTCGCGGTTTGTGAGTTCAAGCCCCGTGTCAGGCTCTGTGCTGACAGCTCGGAGCCTGGCACCTGTTTCAGATTCCATATCTCCTCCTCTCTCTTCCCCTCCCCTCTGTTCATGCTCTGTCTCTCTGTTTCTCAGTAATAAATAAACATGAAAAAATTTTTGAAAAAACACCCCAGTTTCTGATTACCATACATCAAAAATAAGGAGTAACAGCAATAACAATGCCAGCCACCGTTCTATATGCAACACGTGTATTTACACATATGTACTACTTACAACAATGGTGTGAAGTAGCTACTGTTCTTAGCCCACTTTATATTTGAAGAAACTGAGACAAGCACTAACGAAGGTTCATAGTTAGTGATGGAGCTATGACGGGTCCTTCAGGGCCAAGCCTTTAACCACTACATGTACTGCCTCTCCGAACATAAACAGACCAAGCAAAAAAATGTGCACCTATCGGGCTTACTATTGATTGCTGCTTCTGAAATGGTGCATTTTGAGAGAGAATGAGTGTGCAGTTTACTCCATAAATGTGTTCCTCTGGTAAAGTAAGAGGAATGCATATAATTAAAGATACATTGGATTCATTAGACTCAATTATATTATAGAAGTTAGTAAGTTTAAAAAAACATATTAGGTATGGGACATCAGAATTCAACCTGGAATATTAGATTTTAGTTTCCAAATAAGCCACAACCCGGAGGCACTGAGTTTACTGCTCTTTCCCAAATCTGGTTTTGTCCGAGAGATAGATATAGGAATGGGCCTGGTAGGTTTGGAGAAGCACAAAAAGGCTAATGAATGTTCTCATTGCCTCAAGCACATTCATTTATGTTAGAACGAGTGTGTTAGAACTCACAATAAGCCCTGGGGATAGTGAAACACCCAAACTGTTCTAAGTCAGACAGACATATATTCTGTAGAGAAACATAGACCTGTTCTCAGTATTTGGAGTATGTTCCAATGATTCTGTTCTGCTTCTGTTGTTAATGTTGTTTCTTCCAAAGTAAAAATCGTATACATCACCATTATACATACTTTACCAGAATTTAATTTCAAATGTCCTCTGTTTCTTCAAATGACACCAACAACAATAAAAACAAAACGAAGCAAAATTTTCCCAGGAGTTTATTTATATCAAGGGTTAGGGTGCTGATGTTTTAAAGGTAAACATGGTGACAACAGAGGGACTTACTTGGAGCCAGTAACACCACACTTTGCAGTGTTCCAAAAATGATGGTTTTTAACAACCCTCTGTCAGATGTCACTGACAGATGATGCATCTATGAGTTTAAACAAAATATTGAATACTGTTAGTACAATATGTCCTAGAAGTGAACATTATTCTGAATATGCAGTGATGTTAGGTAGCATTAATGAAAATGAACAGTAGGGAAAGAATGAGAAAACATAAAACAGCAGGATTTCAAATAGAAGGATATTTTTTGAAGTCTCTAAATGAGTAATTTGGGGTTTTCTTTTCATTTCCATTCATATTTCTATGAACATAAACTCCTAAACACAAAAGAGAGGTTTCATATCATACCTTGTATAAATAATGTTTCTTATGTTTTGTGTCCTGTTGACCTTGCTATTAGTTGCTTACCTTCACTTATTTATTCATAGCCAGGGTTAAGTGGAAGAGTGTCTAGAAAATTCAGTTAACTCTAATAGAACTAGATTATACTCACAGCACTTCACTTATCATGTATTTTGGAAAACCCATTTCCAAGAAAAAAATGCTATGAAGATGGACCTCTTTATTTGTGATAGATGTTTTCCTGAAAATATCTGTGTTAATAAATCTGTATTAACTGCAGTAGGGAACTGGTTACGTAAAAAAAGAAAACATGGTAGTGAAATATTTTGTAAAATGATGAATTATTTTTCAAAGTGATAATCCTGCTCTAAAATGTAACTGTTTCATAAGTTGGATATTTGTATATCAAATTTTCTTAAATTAGATATTTTATTTATTGGCTGGCAATTAAACTATTGCAAAAGCATACCCACTTTCTTGCCTTGACCTAGATAGCAACTTTAGTGATACAGACATACCTTAGTAATCGAACACACAAATCCTAACAAATACCTTGGGTAACTGTTAGGGTATAAAGAAAGAAACTTGCCATATTATTCTCCAAGAAGCAATCAATTTTCCAGCCAGTGTAGAAGGAATATGGGTAACCAGTGATATAAAGATGCACTCTTCTAATATTCACTAATCCTTACTAATTCTGGGATTTAGTTGAGCGAATGATTGTCCAGTTCCGTGACTTTTGCCCATTCTTAGTTTTTGTACATGTGTTTGCAGAACAATTTATACAGTTCAGACTGTATCCCTAAAAATCAACTGAGCAAAAACCATCCATGTGTCTCTGTCAATAGGTTTACAATGACTCAAATTTTTAAAAAGCCAAATTTATGAATATATTTCACCATTTTGAAAATTATTTATGCTGTTTAACTTATTACATTTTTTTCCTTGCCTTATATTTTCCAAAGTTCAGACCTCCCAGTAATTTACATTTAAAAGTTAATCTCTGGAACTCTCTTTAAATTCAACTTCAAATATCTTATCTTAATTATTTCACAATAAATTACAATGAACTTTGTTTATATAGTGTTATCGCATGACTTTTTAAAAAATGGAACATTATTAAATAAGTTCTCCATAGGTCACTGGAAAAACAAGGGTTAAGGGCACTTAAGGGTTTATGGCAGTTATTCAGATTTACCCTGCTATTAAGTGGTCGAGTTGGAGCTTAAAGAAAAACTCTTCATCTAGATATTCAGATGAGATATCAGGTTCTAAATGTTTTGGGTAATGAATCTTTATTTTTGTGGAATTTTTTCTTCTTTGCCCTCTCCTTCAGTAGAAAATTTTTATAGTTGTTCAAACTTTCCACAGCCAAAATTTGGAATATATTACTCTTTTCTCCCAACAAAATTTTGTTTACGGATTAAAAAAAAAAAAAAAAAAACTGGTTTCTTACCATTTTCTAAAAAATACACTTTGCCATTTTCACTTCTACTGTAGATTTTGTGATAATGCTATATACACATTAGCAACAATAAAATGTATAAAATAAAATTAAACCTTCCCAACTGAAAAATGATAGAGCTGGAAAATATGAAGGTGACCCAAGATTGTGATCATGAGACCAGGGCCAAATATGGCCATGCTCCCAGTGAGTTGACAAAGAGTGACGTTGTCTCTGCCAGTGAAATTTACCAGGAGCAAAACCATCAGTTTCCTCTAGAGCTGCACTGTCCAATATGGTAGCTACTATTGATGTAAGGCGACTAAGCACCTGAAATGGGTCTATGAGTATAAAATACACACTGGATTTCAAAGACTTAATATGAGAACAATGTAAAATATCTCATTAATATTTACATTGGTTATGTGTTGAAATGATAGTATTTTGGATGCATTGGGATAAAGTATATGAACGAAAATAGTTTCATGCTTTTTACTTTTTAATGTAGCTACTAGAAAGTATTAAAAATACATCTGTGACTCACATTTGTAATTTGCAGGCCATTTCTATTGGACAGTGATGCTCTGAAGCATCTCTACTGGTTTCACTCAGTTCATGTATATCCACCATTTGAATTTCACAGGTAAAACGTATTCAACCACTCAAAAAATATTCCTTTCGTTCAACTAAAATTTGCTGTCTCTCCTTGATTCCTAATCTTCTAATGGAATCACTGCTATTAATTTGTTGTTTTACATGTTTTTTCTTGCCTTTGCAAATATATTAATATATATTAAAATTTATACATATAATAATATATTAATATAAATTTATAATATAAATAAATATGTAAATATATGTATAGGTTATGGTTTTTTATTGTTTTTATCAAAAATGGAATTTATACTATACCTATAATTTAATGACTTGCTTGTTTTTTAACTACCAGAGCATCATGGAAGACTTTTTCTAGAGCTATTTAAAATAGCAGAGCTATTTGAACCCATTCAAAAAATTTTCTTCATTCATTGTTTTTACCTATTGAAATAGATTTATACAGTATTGTTAAGACAGCTGTAGAAGAACTACTCATTGAATCAAACATGAGGTTGTGTGGAGAGACAACAAGGTGTTTCTGAAAGGCAAATATGCTCATTTCTCTCCTCTGTTCACTATCTTGCAGAGCTATTTTTCT